CATCCTTAAAAAAAAGAACCTGAAACCTTCCCTCACACCATATCCAAAAATTAAACTAAAATAAACTCTAGCCCTAGGGGCACCTGGGTGGCTCAGTTGGCTAAGCGTCCAACTTCGGCTCAGGTCATGATCTCACAGTTCGTGGGTTCAAGCCCCGCATCGGGCTCTGTGCTGAGCTAGCTCAGAGCCTAGAGCCTGCTTCGGATTCTGTGTCTCCCTTTCTCTCTGACCCGCCCCTTCTCAGGCTGTCTCTCTATTTCAGAAATAAATAAAACATTAAAAATTTTAAAACAATAAAAATAAAAGAAACTCTAGCTCTAAATTTAAGTACTAAAACTATAAAACCTCTCAGGGAAAACAGGAGAAAATCTTTGTGGCCTTAGGTTAACCACAGATTTATCAGATACAACACAAAGTGTATCAATTCTATTAGAGTGATAAATCACACTTCAAAACCAGATCATTATCCACAATCTTAACCAAAAGCATAAGAAAACCCAGTCTCAAATTCCAACTATGCCAGCAACAAGCTGTGCACTTCACTATCTTACGGTCTCTGTGTCCCAATTGTTTTTTCCCTTTTTCTGTGTAATGAGACAGTACCTACCTCACAGGTTAGTCAGTGACCAAATGAGATAATGCTTACAAAACACCAAATTACATATTAAGTACTCGATAATGATGTTTGTTACCTTTCCAAGATTTGTATTTAGTTACTTAAATACCATCTGGGTTTCACAGTTCAAAATTTAGAATTTCCTACTATAAGTCTTTCAGAGTTTATTAAAAATGAGAGCTCAGCTTCATTTTTTATTCAATTCACTTTAAAGAAATGATGAAGAATAAAGGCATACAAAATAGGAAGGGGACCAGGGAAGGAGAGGAGAAACACATTAAGTATGCACCTACAGACACTCCAGAAAACAGATGCTTTGTCTGAATTCTCTCTTTTATTTTTCCTAGCAGATACCTACAGAGGAACTAAGGATCTACAGGAAACTTTCAATAAACCTTCATAAGTGGCCTTTAAAAAGGAGTGCTGGCCTTCTATTTAAGACCCCGGGTTGGTGCCCCAAAGCAAATGTCTCATTAAAAGTTAAATTCATGCTTAGGGAGATTAAATTAAGGAGTATCTGTAATGATTTAAATCAGAAAGTAATATGTGAACGATCACAGTGAAGGATCGCCACACCATAAAACTATAAAACCCCATCGCTCATCTTCCTTAACGTTATAACCATGGCTCTACTTTTAAAACATGCCTCAGAAAGGCATCACATGAGATTAAATTTGTCAGCATTCTTAGAGTTCTCTAGGTTATGAACAAGAATTCTCTGGCACCTATTCCATCTTTAAATATGGAGAAAGAGGGAGATTTCACTGCAAAAAACATCATACTACAAATTTCTCCTAGCCCTTCCTGCCCCCATAGTTCCCCAAAGGCCACAAGCAGCACACAGTAAGAAGTGGTAGGAAACAAAAGAAGACCATCCACTGGGGGTAAACTTACCTGTGGTGTTTTATTCTCTTTAAGGTCCAACCCAAATACGTTGTGTCGCTTCACTGTAAAGAAATCAGCGTCGTGTCCATCATCCTCATCCTCATCTCTGTCTAAGAACTGCCCAGAGGCTTCTTTGGACTCCGCAGTGCTAGGGACAGACGGAAGCTGAGACCCATTTGCTTTTGCCAGTTTCTCTTCCATTTCTTCCTCATCTTCCTTCTCTTCTTCCTCTTCATCACTAATCCCCTTAGCCAACGTGTGTTCTGTCTCTTCTGGCCTTTTCCCACCTTTCTGAAGGATGGACATTTTCTCATTGAAGTAGGCTCTAAATTCTTCTACTTCATCATTGGTGAGGGAGGGAGCCCTTGGCTCAATTCCTTTATGATCTTGGCTCACCACCATTTCTTTAGGGGATTGCTTCTGCATTTTCTGAAGAAATCTTACCCGTGGGGCCACAGCAAGACCTAGAGACCTTAAACATGAGCAAACAAAAATAGTTATCTCAGTACATTGATGGTGTGCTTATGGTATTATGCAAGTTTCTCAAGAGTGGGGACTTTTTGGAGTTTTTAAAGAAAACACTCTTCTGAGATACAACTCAATCTTGACAGATGAGATGATCCAAAAGGCAAGGCAAAAAATACCAAATACCCATCAGACAACACTGGAGATAACCACATTTTTCATTAAGAGGTTAACAAGTTATAAATAAAGAGCATGAAACCAGAAACATGAGAACAGTTCAAGTACTAAATCTGCCTATTTCCAGTTTACTTCTTTTAGCCTTGGCCTCCTCAAATATGAGATATCAATACCTACCAGGTCCACCTCACAGCTGTTGTAACAATCTAACTTGCTAACTATATGAAAACACTGAAATGTCAATACTAAAGCTGAAAAAGACATGGTTATGAAAGGACAAAACAGCTCTCTGCAAAGAATAAACTAAAATTACTACTGTCCTCTCCTCTTTGACTACGACGTAATCATTTCTACCCAAAAAAGGAAAAGAAAAGAAAAGAAAAGAAAAGAAAAGAAAAGAAAAGAAAAGAAAAGAAAAGAAAAAAGAAAAATCCTCAACGCTTGCTAAGCCTGGAGCCTGCTTTGGATTCTGTGCCTCCTTCTCTCTCTGTCCCTCCCATGCTCTCTGTCTATCTCCGTCTCTCAAAAATAACTAAATGTAAAAGAAAAAAAAAAAAAAAAAGAATGAAAAAAGAAAAAAAAATATTTCTAAATAAGACCAAAATAGAAAAGAAAATTATTTTCTCCTTCTAAGATCAAGATCCACTTTATGATCAGGGCTTTCCCAGCTCCTAAGTCCCTACTCGAGAATGAGGAATAAACGCCTACAGCTGGACCTGCTACGGTCAACAGCTGAGACAGTGACATGGCTCCACTGCCTCTTTCCTGTGAGGCATGATTCAAGAAACTTACAGGTGCAGTGGGAAAAAGCATAGATCCAGAAATCAGGCTGTTGATGTCCAAATCCTGACTGTCCTCACCTCACCAATGTGACTGAAGGATGTTACTGAACCTCTATACCTCAGCTCCCTCATTTGTGAGACGCCATGATCAGTACTGACGTCCTAGGGTGGTTGTAAGAGTGAAATGAGTTCACAGATGCAATGTACGTAACATATAGCCTGGCACACAGGCAGCCGCTACTCAGCACCTCCCGTTATTACTACTATAGAGACTATGGGATGGGATCATAAACTCCTATCCATCAGACCATTCTCTCAGTGTACTACAATTATACTTATGTGTCTTTCTCAGCTACTAAAACTTGAAGCCCCTTTAAGGTAGGCGTACACACATCTATAATATTTTAACATTTACCACAATGAACTGTACATACTAACTATTCAAAACATGTTTCTTTTGGGGCACCTGGATGGCTCAGTCGAATAAGGTGCGAGTTCGGCTCAGGTCATGATCTCCCAGTTCGTGGGTTCCAGCCCCGCATCAGGCTCTATATTGACAGCTCAGAGCCTGGAGCCTGCTTCAGATTCTATGTCTCCCTCTCTCTCTGCCCTTCCCCTGCTCATACTCTGTCTCTGTCTCAAAAATAAATAAAAACATTAAAGAATTTTTTTAATAAAAGTAAATTTTAAAAAATAACTTTAAAAAATATGTTTCTTTAGGAAAATAATTTTCAAAAATACTTATTATATCCTGCATACATAACACTGCTTTAGGTAACAAAGGGCTTCTAAAGGAGTTTATAGGTCAAGGAAATGATACACCTAAACATCCACAAAAATTAAGCAACACCACCAAATTAAACCGTACCAATAATTTAGACTCAGAAGTTAACTTTCTGCTTTTCCTAAACATCACCAATAAAAAGCAAAGGTCATCAACTGTGAACAGATGAGATTTACTGGCTTTTGTAGCAACAAAATGTTCCATAAATATGACCCTGCGGTGTTAAAGCCCTGTGCCTCTCCTGTTTACTAATATCGCAGCTAAGTCAATCAGAAAACTAGGACAGAACTTCGTAGACTACTAAAAGGAAGCTAATAACCTAAACCATGAATCGTATTCAGGAGCGGTGAAATTAGTTAACCGCTATACCAACAGCTCAGTGACAAACATATGTTATATCCATAGTTTGTGGTTTTCCATCAATTACCTACACAGAGAGTCAGGAGCCTCACACTGTTAACTAGCAATTTCGATCACTCTAAAATGTTACAACTGACAAATTACTTATTATACTAAACTCATAATCTAATGTGAAGAGCAGAAAACAGCAGCTCTCCCAGATACGAGTTTTTATCAGACTCCATTTAAAGGTAAAGACGGGGCACCTGGGTGGCTCAGTCGGTTAAGTGTCCAACTTCAACTCAGGTCATGATCTCCCAGTTGGTGGGTTCAAGCCCCACATGGGCTCTGTGCTGACAGCTAGCTCAGAGCCTGGAGCCTGTTTAAGATTCTGTATCTCCCTCTCTCTCTGACCCTCCCCTGCTCATGCTGTCTGTCTGTCTCTCTCTCTCTCTCTCTCTCTCTCTCTCAGAAAAAAATAAAACATTTAAAAAAAAATTTTTTTAAATAAATAAAGGTAAAGACGTTCAAATTCCTGGAGAGCAAGCCAAATACAGAGACCTTGCCTTGAAAATACATATGTCATCACAGACTAGGAATTTTATGCTGACATTTAACATATGATTAACCTCAAGGGTGCTTCTATAGGATTTTGTCAATGTTTCCCCACAGGTAGAACCCCACTGAAAAAATGAGCATTCCTCCTTTATAATAGCTGAAAAGGTGAGCAAAAAAGTCCTTCAAATACTAAGCCAAAACAAAACCAACAGTTCCTTTTTTATGTAATAATAACCTCAGTTACTAAACAGGGACATTTTGCCATGGTAACTGTGAGTACCTAGAAGAAACAATAAGACACAAAGAATACTCAGGCAATAATCAAGCAGTTATGGGGATCAATCTAAAAGGAAGGAAGAACTGACAAGGAGACACGTATCAAAAGCATAGAAAAGAGCGGTCTATGGTGTTCCAGGCCAGCGTTCCGAAGACAAGAGGCCCACAGAGGATTAGGGATTTCAGACAGTGCTTATCAACTGTTCTCCACCTCCTGTAAAACGGAACTACAGGAAACTGCCCGGGTAACTTCCAGAAATTTTCACTTACAAGTCAGAAACTTCTTTCTGACAACAAGAACTAGACACTCACCTAGTTTTCTAGTTTGTATAATCTTTTTGTCTGCAGATTTTTAACAGATTCTCTTAAGTTAAGGCAGAGCAGTTTCAACGAGGACTCTTCAGAGAACCAGGTTGTGGACAAATGACCTCTACCTCTGAGGATTCACAATTAAAACCATAATATGAATACTTACAGGGCATATTCAGGTATAGGTAACTTGCTCACATCAAATATTTCTTTATCCTTCATCAGATACACTGAGCGTATATAGGAGACAAAGCACTGTAAAAATAAGAGGTTTACATGTATGATATGCGATAGTCAGAAATGGAATTAAATTTAAACCCAGGTAAAAGAAAACTTACCAAAGGGATAATTTCAACAGTAGTGGAAAAATCTTAAAAATAATTGAGAATGTCTCCATTCCACAAGAAAAAAACAAAATCTACCTTTTTCTAACTGTAATATTAGATAAGACTTTAAATGTGGTTTCATCAAGCCAACTTTCTCAGAAAGCTATTCTACAAGTTAGTATCAGTCTGTTGCAATATGCTCTAAGCGGGGTAAAGGGATGATTTGGAAGGATACAGATGACAATCCGAGCTCCTTATCTTACTTGCTGCACAAGTCTCTTGTGTTTCTGTCAGTTTCCTTGTCTATCAAAGACCACAGCACCTTCTACTTAAAATGTTAGGTGAAATTAACCAAGAAAATACATCTAGAATACCAGGGTGTTATCTTCTGGAATACAGCAAATACCAATAAATACTAGCTATTAGTAATAATCATTTTAGTAGTCAAAGCATACCTTTTCTAACATAATAAAAATGTGACTCTATTTAAATTAAGCTTAATAAAATCATGACATGAAGTTTATTCCTAAAGCCTATAGTATCATTTCAAGTAATTTGTCATCATCAACTTGTGTTATTTTTCTGAAGTTTTTAAAAAGAAAAAAAGGTAACTTTATACCAAGAACTATATAAACCAAAGCATAAACATGATCCCCATCCTTTATCCGTCTATAACAGTCAGGCAACAAAGATGATGAAACACATCTATGCAAGCATTTATTTTAAAATTAATTTTTATAAGTACATTTAATTCCCATTTCTAGATTTCCTAAACTTCACATTTGCTATAACTTTATACTAATCCTTTCTTCAAACCATTTTCCCTGTCTCCATAAGCATGAAAAACAACGAATGGCTCCAGTTCAAGGATAATTTTTCCCCTACAATTGTTCACAAAAAAAACCCACCACTATTGCCTATCGTTTTTGTTCTATCCAGATTATAATCAAAGGCTAGAAAATCACTTCTATGAAACTAGATAGCTTGCTGCTGCTGGCAACGCAGTTAGCCATTCTGCTAAACCATGCGTGACACCCAATAAATCACATCATTTATGTGAATGCGCATTCTATAATCTTTGTTCTGGAAGGCCCATTTGTTGTAGGCACAGAGCAGTGAAACATCCTTCTCATGTTCCTTATTCCCTGATTCATAACTGAATGACCTCTTAGGTATGCAGTAAGTCATGACATCTCAGAATTCATGTATAATATTTTCAAATGTGCATACTATTTCCAAACCATCTAAAAGATGTAACCTATGTCTGCTAGACGATATCTGCACACAAATGTTTGCATGCCCAAAAATGAAGAAAAAAGATTTTTTCCCTTTAAAGGTCCTTTTCATTAGATTTCAGGTGAAGTGAGCTTCTAGAAATACAACTTGGCACAGTTCAGTATTTGGTTTTCTTGTAATTCTCTTGATCTATCATGGAAGTTTTGAAGAAAGGCAAATGTGGATGTCAGTCTCAGGCCTGCTACCTTATAGCTTATGTGACCTTGACAATTTTTAATTTTCTCCATCTATTACTTACTCCTGTGTAAGTCACATCAGTATCGCCCTCCCCGTGGGTTGTTGGGAAGATGAAGAAAGAGCACACAGCAAACTGCCATGTAGCAGTCATATCATGACTGAGCACTGACACAGAGTAAGCATTCACATTCCAGCTTTCATCACTCGTGGTATTTTAAGCACAATAAGGCTGACTTGATAAAATATAAGAGAAGTTAATTTTTTTTTTTTTTTTTTTTTTTTTTTTACTATTTTTTATTTATTTCTAGGGGAGAGAGAGAGAGAGACAGCGTGAGCAGGGGAGGGTCAGAGAGAGAGGGAGACACAGACTGAAACAGGCTCCAGGCTCTGAGCTGGCAGTCAGCACAGAGCCCGACGCGGGGCTCGAACCCACGAACCGCGAGATCATGACCTAAGCGAAAGTCGGACGCTTAACCGACTAAGCCACCCAGGCGCCCCAAGAGAAGTTAATTTTTAACCAGAAACGTTAAAACTGCTCTTTAGATAAAACTTCTTTCCCAAGAATATCCAGTTTCAAAACCATAACATGGCCTTACTACTGACCGTTTTTCTGCTCAGGCTCCTTTTCCATCTAGGATCCTTTTTCCATATCTCTTATTTCCTTCCTCTCATTTCATCTCTCTGCTTAAAGAGAATCCAACCTCTGAATCCTGACTGTCTTAACTCACTGTTGATATGTTATGGGAGATTCAGAGATAGAGATCTTATGTAGGTCTCATAACCTCAAAGTATGTAAAAGCATCGTAAAAAGGATGAGCTTTATAACAGGTTTTCAAATATTTGTCCATTTAGAGACTGGGAAGCTGTTAGCACAACACAAAAGTACTTCCTTTCTTCCTTTACTAAATCATCTACTGCTGGGCACTCTAAGAACTGAAAAGTAAGTCTAACTGAAAGTGGTAATTCTTTGTATTTGCTAATCAAGAGAATTTCTAAGTCAAAAAAAGTAATTTGGGAACATTAAGTTTACATTTATAGGTTAAAATTTCATTCCTAAAGATGATTTAGTAAAAGTGCTATTTTTTCTAGAAATTTAACCTAATGAAAGAAATTATAGTAAGCTTGCTGAATGTCAACAAAGCTGACATTTTCCCAGTTTGTTCTAAGAAATACATAATCTTTTTATTTTTAAAATATGTTAATTTATTTGTTTTGAGAGAAAAAGAGAGAGTGTGAACAAGGAAGGGGCAGAGAGAGAGAGAGAGAGAGAGAGAGAGAGAATCCCAAGCAGGCTCCACACCACCAGCACAGAATCCAATGTGGGGATCAATCCCACAAACCATGATCATGACCTGAGCCAAAAATCCAGAGTTGGACGCTTAACCCACTGAGCCACCCAGGCACCCCAAGGTACAGAGTCTTTTTAAAAGTTAAAGAATATGCTGGTTATCTGTGAACTGCACTACTTGACTACCTAAAGCACAACCATGACACCCAAAGTAGCAGAAAATGAGGGATTCTAACTTTACTATATGCTCCATTCCAACTAAGGTATCAAGTTTACCAAAGACTTACCCTTTGAGCTCTTTCTTTTAAATCTCGGTCTTGTGCTAAAAATGATTCCAATTTTTTCTGGACATCTATAAGTTTTTCTGGATTGATTCTTTGTAACAAAAAAATAGAGGTTAAACTAAGACATTTCAATTTTAGAAACTGAAAATAGTGTACAGCATTTTCCTCAGTATTTTTAAATCTATAACATTATTTCTCATCTAGGAGCCAGATTAGATTGAAATTATACTAGAGGTAAATTTGACTCTCAGGATTCTGCATAATGCAGGGGGATAAAAGATCAACATTAAAAATCTTCTCTAAATGTCCCATGCTAAGTGAAAGATACTAAGGTTAACATTCAATTATCACTGGTTGCTTCCTAAGTCCATTAGAAAATAGATTCTCATGGGAGATCTACTGTCCATATGGTAGAATAAGTGAAAGTTATTATCACTGTTATAAGTACTTCCAGATTCAGCCAAATATCCTAAAACCAATTTCAAATAATAAACAAGGAGCCAAAAGATAAAAATAATGTTCTCCTTATCTGGAAATCAAGCACAATGTACCAGAATAGCTACTTCACTCCACCAGGGGGAAGCTATAGGAAAGAATGAAATTCTTACAAGGGTCTATGCTTCACAAAAGAAATCCCACTTGTTTCCCTGATTTTAAACCAAACCACTTTGCTCCTGCAAAGCTGGGGTAGTGGTAGATGGGGGTGGATGAGATGGTTTTTACTTTAATTATAAAATCACTATAAAATTAAAGACACAAAAGGTAGAAAACTTTCACTCACTCTCAACAATTTCAACTCAGTCTTGTTCCATCGAACCCTTAACCAACCCGCCTACCCCACTCCCCATCTAAACACCCTCCAAATTATTTCCCTCCAAGTAAATCCAGGACATTTCAAGGACCCCACTGCAGGTGCAACTCTGATCCTGATCAAATCTGCTGACAACCTGAATATCTTAAATGGAAAGCACAGTCCTCTGAAATGGACACACAACCCTACATATTTCATCTAAGACATGTAATCCTTTCAACCATTGATGCCCGTTGAGGCTAACAAGTTCTCTCCATTTCATCTTATTTTCTCCATTAAGATTCTTCCAGAAAATGTGTTTAAAAAAACACAAGCAAACAAAAAAAGTCACAAACCAGACAGCAGAAGAGCAGAGGGCGGAGGGAATGAAGTATACGTAATTCAGCATGACAAACCTGTGCCTCTCTTCTCCTGACGGTAACATCAACACACCCAGCAGTTCTTACCTGATTCCCTTCACAGGCACTTTCTTCTGAAGAAGCTGCTGCACCATCCCTTTCTCTTCTGAGGGAAGCAAAATTAATAAAGCTTCACCATCCTCTTTGTACCTAAACAAAAAAACAATCTTCCACATCAGTGCAATCTGCATTTTACATTTCAAAGATCTGATGAATAGGTGACAAAGAAGCAAGTTCACCTAATTAGTAAATATTAGGAATACCATATTGTTCACTTCTGTAAGGACAGACAACTAAGGGCTCTGAGCACCTTTTTCAACATTTCACTACTAGTTATAATTCCAAGTGACTTTTAGGCCATACCAAGGCAGGAGAGCCAGATCCTAAGAAACAAATCAATTAAAGAGAATTTCTTAAATAGTTCTCTATAGCAATTTCTCATTAAAGCCACGAAGACTATTAGGTTACGATTAGTCATGTAAGAACATGGCACTCACTATATTAAGGAAACAAATCATCTTTCTGGAGATTTTATACCTTGGGAATAGCACTGTTTAGTGCCATCATTTTTAAGAAATGGATCTCTGCTCAACTGAAAAGTTATCCTCCAATCCACGTGCTTCTCTTCCCTCATCTAGCAAAATTCTTATTTCATGCTGTACCACCAGAAATTTCTACATAACTGGGCCACGATGCAGCCACAGTTACTAAGCCTCTTGTGCAACTTGTGCACAGATTCCCCTTATAACTCGGGGTCAGCCATTATGTGCAAGCAGTAAGATAAAGCGAACTGGACATCTGTGGAATTTTTTTTAAACACACAAATGGAAAAGTATTCTCATCAAAGCACTCTCTTCAGGGTTCATGTTATAAAATGTGAGGAGCAAATTTTTATAGTTAACCAAATACGTTATTTAGTGAGAAATTGTGTGCCAGGCCGAAACTGTGAAGAACACAAAGACATAGAAGACTATTTCTGTCTTCAGTGATCGAACAATCTAGCTGACTAGAAAACACAAACACACACAAAATCAAGACAATGTCCCCAAGATGGTACGTTACTAAATGTCAAAGGATGACCAGGGGCCATAAATGTCACAAACTCAGAAGAGGAAAGAGACCACTCGGCCGGGGGGGGGGGGGGGGGGGGGGGGGGNGGGCGTTGTCAGGGCCAGGTGTAATTTGAGGAGGACCTTGAAGATGAACAGAAAGGGAAAAGATAGGATCTTTCAAAGGGGCAGAAACCAGAAAAAAGGGCAAATTTAGCTCACTTAAGATAGGAAAAACCCAACTGAACCAGTATAACCAAATGGACAGCAGGAAGGATTTCCAGATGGGAACATCAGAGTCTGGATCTAGAGAACACTGGATAGCTGCATATACAGAGACAGAATACCACTGTACATAATTTTATCAATGAATGCTGGAGGCAAAAAATTGTGTTGACTTACAAAAGTACTATAAAGATAGAAGGGCAATTTCATCTCATATTTATTTTAAAACTCTACTCCAACACGCAAGGTGAAATCCCAGTGTAATATCTTAATAGGAATATCTACGTATATGTATATACTTTTATAAGTACACACACAGAAATGTATGAAATAAAACATATCAAAAGTGTTAAAAGTTATCTTTAACTCATAAACAAACAAACAAAAAAAAATTTAAGGGGCCACTAAATGCCAGGCACTAAAACTGACATAGTTCTGGCTGTCCCACAGCTTACACACTATTAAGGTCAGACACTAAAACAGCAAGGAACAATAAAGTTGTAGGAGTGTTAGTAGGTGTACAGAAAGCTAGAAAAACGTAACAGAGAACCACGTTGAATGCTGTCCAGGAATCAAGAAAACTGTCCTGAGCAAATGACTTCTAAGAGCAGAGACCTAAAAAATTAGGAATCAGTTAAACATTACGGAAGAGTCAAGTTTTCCAGGGAGAAAAGGCAGCATCTGAGGAGAGTCCAGTGGATAGTTTTGTCTTCTTAACACTGCTTAACTTTTTCTAGGGTTTCTAAATGCATAGGCATTAAACAGGAGAGAGAGTAAAGCTTTTACTGTTTCATAAATGAGAAACTAGTACCAAATACCTTCCTCATTGTATTTCAACATCTATTACAATTCAAAATGCCTCATTATCATTTACTATGAAGAAATATGAAAAACCATTCCCCCTAAGCAGTATTGGATTAATCCATTTGTCAAGGCAGAAATCACTAGTATATGAAGTAGTGAGGTGATACACAGAGCAGACACAGTATCTGATGAGAGACATCTCAACTTTTTTATTAGTTTGAGAGACAGAGACAGACAGCAAGCAGGGAAGAGGCAGAGAGGAGACACAGAATCCAAAGCAGACTCCAGGCTCTCAGCTGTCAGCACAGGGCCTGACACAGGGCTTGAACCCACAGACTGTGGGATCATGACCTGAGCCGAAGTCGGATGTTTAACTGACTGAGCCACCCAGGCGCCCCGAGACATCTCAACTTCTGAAGCTCCAAGAGCTCACTAAAGACATGTTAAAGGGAAAAGGGACAGATAGCAGTTAATAATGACCTGCGCTGTGCACTATATCAAAATGTCTCCAAGGTAGCCAGTCTCTTGAGATGAGGTCAATTATCTTCAGAAGTAAGAAAGTGTATCTCATGGGGCTCAAAGAGGACTAATTAGGAAAAAGGGAGATGGATATGAGTGGGTTGAAGGGAAATTGATCTCTTTAACATTCTATATCCAAATTCAGAGATGGAGAGAGAAAATAAACAATCCACCAGGTCTACATAATGTGGCCCAGAACTGGGGAAAGGGGTAGAGCGAAATCTCTAAGGTATCAAAACTGCAACCCCTGAAGCCCTTAGATCTTTTTTTTTTTTTTTAATTTTTTTTTTAAATGTTTTATTTATTTCTAGGAGAGAGAGAGACAGCGTGAGCAGGGGAGGGTCAGAGAGAGGGGGAGTCACAGACTGAAACAGGCTCCAGGCTCTGAGCTGGCAGTCAGCACAGAGCCCTACGCGGGGCTCAAACCCACGAACCGCGAGATCATGACCTAAGCGAAAGTCGGACGCTTAACCGACTAAGCCACCCAGGCGCCCCATGAAGCCCTCAGATCTTCAGATGGATGCATGAGCAGGAATAATCAGCTTAACCATGACACCCATCTTGTCTACCCATTTAGGCACCCAAGGATAATCTGGAAGAATGGATCAGGATTTAAGTCACACAAGGGCCATATCCAAACCTTTTACAACTCTACTCAACAAACAAACAGATCTGCACAGGGTTAAGACAGAATGTAACACTGGAATTTAAAAGAACAAAATTCCCAAAGGAAAATGGAAAAACAAATGTCCAAAGTTGAACGCCACAATGCAAGCTCTACAGAAAAGCTCACAACTGGCCCCTTTACCTATTGAACATCACACACATCTTTTCCCGAAAACAACATAAAGCACAAATTATCTCCTACACACCAACACCCAAAAATTTCCAATAACCTTTCATTTTAAAAATAAAAACACATTTGAAAAGAAGGCAGAAGCACATTTTTTTTTCTTTCAAGTGCTTACAATGGTTGTCTACTTACCCGTGAGCTAGCTTTTTAGATTTCAAAAGCAATACAGAAGGACTGAGGCTTGGTATGTGCATAAAGAGAAATAAGTGTTCTTCACAAGATACATATTGGAACTCCGTGTAACATAGGTTATTGTAAGAAAAATTCTAGGTACCAAGTAAAAGCCCTGCAACTGGAACACAACAACCACAACAATCTCATTTTCACCTTCTGTAGTGGCACGTCACATTTATGTAGTACTTTAGAATTTAAGAAGAACTTCATTTTACATTAATTTGCCAATCTTTTTTATGCAATTGGTAGAGAAGGCAAATTTCTGGAAAGACCAAGAAATTATCCAAAAACACCCATCAAAAAAATAGAAATACAAAACAAAAAGAAAAATCTCCAGCTAATCATCACATAGAAGAGGCTTTAAACTTGCAGTTCATTACCTTTATCGCTATACCAGGACTCCCTCCAGAAGGACCCCTAAAGGTTGATCACAACTGTATGCCTTCACACACTATAGCTCACTGGCATTTCTAGCTCCGTGTGGGAGACCCAGACCACTGACTTCTGGGTCCCACTGGTAATTTTAAGCTCAAAAGAAACTCTGGCCCAAGGAAGGAAGAAAAACCCTGCAGTTCTGGCACGAATTTGCCTTCCCTCCAGTAACCGCTAGTCCTCAACCATTCCAATGCCTATTCCCCAACACACAAACTCCATTCTAGCTAACACTTTAAGTGTCCCTTAAATTTTGCCCATTCAGCAAGGTCTGCCAGCACTAACAAATGCCTGGCCATTCTTTCTCCCAGCCTGGTTCTCCAAGTTACAGAGCAGGGTGTAAGTGATTCTATTTACAATAATTCCCTTTTTGTAATTTTAAAAATATATATAGGACATACATGAAAATTTCTCTAGGTCATAAGATGTGGGTGGTACGTTCATTCTACCAGCATCTAGAATCTATACAGTGAGGGGCTCAGAGTGGGCGGCTCAGGCAGTTGAGGATCCAACTTCAGCTCAGGTCAGAGCTCTGCATCAGGCTCTGTGCTGACAGTTGAGAGCCTGGAGCCTGCTTTGGATTCTATGTCTCCCTCTCTCTCTGCCTCCCCCCCCCCCGCCCATACTCTGTCACTGTGTCTCTTTCTCTCTATAAAAATAAACTTTTAAAAACATAGAATCTATAAAGTGAATAAGCACTATTTTTATAACAAAACACAAGTTATTACAAAGTAAGAAATAAAAATGTATATACTTTTAAAATCTTCATCTTTTGTGTCATTCTTACTTCATTTAACACAACTTAGTACTATTAATATTAGGGTACTTCCTTATCTTGACCAGTACATTGGAGGACATATGTGAATGCATGTTCCATACCTAGCCTACATTTGTACCTAAAAGCTGCTCACCAAATACTGGTGAGTAAACAGATGTAAAAAACCACCAGAAAGTTGCATAAGCAGATAGAACACTGGATTTGGAGTCAAAAGAACTGAATTCAAGCCCCAGCTACTATTCATTAGCTTTATAGCCCTGGTAATAAATCATTTCATCACCATATACTACACTCTTATTTATAAATTATATGCTTTTTTTAAAAAAAATGTATTAAGTGTTTATTTTTGAGTGGAAGGAACTGAGAGACATCTCTGACCCACAGCCAGAAGAAAGACATGAACCCTGCCAACAAGCAGATGAACGGGCTTGGAAAGGGATCCAGCTCCAGTTGAGCCTTCAAGTACTGCGTGACAGCGCGATCGCAGACCCGGGCTCCAGACCTGCAAGGATGTGGAGGAGCATCCAGAGAAGCCAAAGGAGCCACCTCTGCGTTTCTGATCCACGGAAACCAGGAGAGAACATCTGGTTCTTGGTTTATGCCACTAAGTCATAGGGTAATTAATTTTAGGGAAGCTCTGATTCATGAGTCTGATTTGAGAAAGTAACTGTGTTATCTCAACTGTCTACACTGCCAAGCCCTGTTCTAAGCACTCAGGGTGTATCAATTAAGTAGACATATTTCCTTACCTTTATGGAGCCTACATTCTAGTGAAGAGAAAGAGATGCATTGTAGTAAGGAAATGCTCTAGGCTACATGAAGGTATTAAGGGCTATGGGGGAAAAGGGAAGCACAGGGGAAGGGAAGAGTAGTTGGGGCAGGTTAAGAAAGACAGTCATGCGGATGCTTGAGGAAAAACCATTCCTGCAAAAGAAACAGTAATATAAAGGCCGTGGGGGGGAGGGGGAAAGAAGAGGGCGGGGGAGGGACATGCTTGGCATGAAGGAGAAACAGTCTGAGCAGTGTGGAGCATAGACACAAGCAGGGAACAGAAAGTAGGGTTGGAGGGGACTGAGTAATATCAAGCCACTGGCTTTTATTCTGAGTGAACAGGAAGCCGTCAGAGGACTGACGTGATCTGACATGGGTGTAAAAGGATCACTCACCTGCTGTGTTGAGAAGGGACAGCAAGAGGGTAAGGGGGAAGTGCGTGGAACCAGCTGACTCCTGAGGAAAACTCAGCCCACTTACCTACCTACCTCTGTAACTATTTCAGCCCTACACTATCCCAGCTCAATGCTTCTTGATGCAAAAGAAAGAATTGGTTTTTCCCGTTCTAAAAAAAAAAAATCTTTAAATTCTAAAGAGCAGACCAAGGCAGAAGGCCATGTAAAGCTGCACCAGTACATCCAGAAGAAACAGGCTGAATTTAGGATCTTCCTAAGTCTAAGTTAAAGGCATTAAAGAAGGGGCGCCTGGGTGGCTTAGTCGGTTAAGCGTCCGACTTTCGCTTAGGTCATGATCTCGCGGTTCATGGGTTCGAGCCCCGCGTCGGGCTCTGTGCTGACTGCCAGCTCAGAGCCTGGAGCCTGTTTCGCAGTCTGTGACTCCTTCTCTCTCTGACCCTCTCCTGCTCACGCTCTCTCTCTCTCTCTCTCCTAGAAATAAATAAAANTAAATAAAACATTTAAAAAAAAAAAAAAAAAAAAAAAAAAATAAAGGCATTAAAGAAGCACACATTTGGGGCGCCTGGGTGGCTCAGTCGGTTAAGCGTCCAACTTTGGCTCAGGTCATGATCTCACGGTTCGTGGGTTTGAGCCCCGCATCTGGCTCTGTGCTGACAGTTCAGAGCCTGGAGCCTGTTTCGGATTCTGTGTCTCCCCCTCTTTCTGATCCTTCCCTGCTCACACTATCTCTCTCTCTCTCTCTCTCTCTCTCAGAAATAAAACATTAAAAAAAATTTAAAGCCCACATTTTCACTAGCAAAAGACAGCTCTTGTCTCATACCTAAGATATTCAGAGTAAGCTTCAGTAAATTAATGCTCATAAAAATTGTCTTTTCACTCCTATTATTTCAACTTACAAAACAAAGATACTTTTTAAAAACTCTCTTATTTTTTTCCATAAAGTAGCAGTATTTTTCACAAACCATAAACTCTTCAAAGTTATCACAGCAAAAATTTTAACTACTTTGCATCCGCTGCTGCTGCTGCTGACCGACAGAGGAGCCGGGTGCAAGGCAAAGAACTGGCCTCTGCTGCCCTCTAGTGGATGCTCACGCTGCTGTCTAAATCCGTCACAAAGACTGAGAGCCAAAAAACGCAGCCAGGTGGGAATTGTTACCCGACTCTAGGAAACAATAGTCATATAGATAGATAGATAATATAGATATAGATGATATAGATATATAGATATAGAGATAAAGATAGAGATAGATATAGAGATATAGAAACTCACTTTGTTTTTAATGTAAGCTCTAGGCCCAATGTGGAGCTTGAACTCATAACCTTGAGATCAAGAGTTTCATTCTCTACTGAGCCACTAAGCACCTGGACTCTCACCTTTTGTGTTTAAACTCCCAAATGTTTACATATGATCAGTTATATATAACTCACATCTTCCATCCACAGATTCCTACTCCCCAAATAAAAGCATTTAAAAAAAAGAGTATCCAATGTATACCTACTCACCATTCACCAATTTTTTACTGTCAAATGCACATTTTTCTAAGAAAATGGAAGAGCTTGGATTTATCAGTACCAAAAACTGCAAGCCCTAAAAACAATCATTTTTAAGTAATGCATCACAGAATACAGCTTGATAAAATTATATTCCTACTCTTTGCCTTCCCTGTCTCTAAAGGATATCATTTTGTTAAAAGGGATGTGGATGATTAAAGAAAACAGACACAAATTTTCCCCATACTAAGGATCATGAGAATTTTTAGTGAATAAATTAAAACAAAATGCTTCAAGACAAGTACCTAAATCATTATTTTCACTTAACACACTTAGAAAGGAAAAAAAAGATTCCACAAACCTTAGCTATTTTGCCTGAATTCATTTCTCTGTATTCATATATTATAGCTCACTTCCACAAGTAAACATTATCTGGCAACCCAGTTTTAATTACAGCAAAAACACAGGATTTTAATTAGTTTCAAATTTTAATTTAGCCTTTATTCAATTCAATTATTCAGTCTCATGGCCCACAAAACTTTCTAATTATCTGTAAGCCCATTAATGGCAACTTTTAAACTGCAATTTCATTATTTTTGTTATTAAACTGCCCAGGAAAAAATAAGTATTGCATATCCTAAACATTTCCAATGACTACTCATCTAAAAGAGTCAATTCAAAACATTTTTAATTGGTTACGAGGGATCAAACTGACTTGTATTTTAAAAATTAATGACATTAGAAACTGCATTACAACAGTTTTTCAAATTAGTATTTTCTTTTCAAACACAATCATGAAGTCATCGTAGCTCCTTTTCATCTCCAGTCATTAGGACCAATTTAATGTCCACCCTGGCATGTTCGACTACACTAGATTTTTAACAACCTCTCTGGGAACCAAAAACCCTGAAATATTCCTCTTTGGTGAACTGTTTTCTGATGCAATGAGATGTCCAATCATCTTCATAAAGGAAGAATAATTTTAAAAGACTGTTTAAAAGTGTCCTATAAAGAAATCAGTTTTCCCCATCTATATCAACACCAAACGGCACAACTAACACGCCTGTGTGCTCCCAGAGCAAATATGCGCAAGAGGCCACATCCCACTTTCTCTAAAATGGAAATGTGCACATGGGAACATGTACAAACTCATACATGCTACACATTTACTTAGAAGAGTTAAACAGTAGAGGAATACTCATTCCGCCAACCACTACTCGGGACTTCTGAACATCTCACTATGAAAGATAACCCAAACGTGTATCCAACACAAATATCACTGATAACACCACCCACCTTCCTATAAAATGGAAAACAAGACTGCTGTTCTACCCAGGTCGTTTTCCTTAGACCCCATCTGAAACTAAAACATAACCACTTTACAGGCAAGTTCATCTAAAAGTACAACAGCACCATATACAGAACCCAGTTCTAACTTTATTGCTTATTCAAATTATACTGTAACTGCAAAAAAAAAAAAAAAAAAAAAAAAAAAGACTAACTTTTGCCCCTGTAGCACATAAATTCCATTTTTTAAAGCTTTATGTTTCACTGCTGTACTATTCTCTCCCTTCATGCTGGTCAAAAGAAATGCGCTTGAGTACATTCTGATTATAGCCCATGTTTAATGGCCCACAAGATAAACGTGAATCATAAGCAATCAAACATGTTATGAAATTTTTTAAATGAATAAAATGAAGGGCTCTGCTTCTTCTCAGGCTGCAGAAGGACATGAAAAACCTGCACTTCAGCCAAAACATAGAACAAAATTTACCAGATACTACCAAAAAGGAAAAAAAAAAATCTTTAAAGCCCCCCCGTACCTGTGGATTCAAAGATATTAACTACATGGCAAAGAGATTTACTAGACAAACGGGGATAGCGGCCACTGGGGGCTGTTTGCTGAAAGGGACACAGGGCAAGCAGAAGAGAAGGAAAGTCACTGCTTAGAAGATGGTCTAAATCTTGGGTCTAAAGATCCTGCCATAGGGCTTCTGGGTGGCTCAGTTAGTTTAAATGTATAATCTCAACTCAGGTCATGATATCACGGTTCGTGAGTTCGGGCCCCATATCAGGTTCTGTGCTGACAGGTCAGAGCCTGGAACCTGCGTCGGATTCTGTGTCTCCCTCTCTCTCTGCCCCTCCCCAACTAGTGCTCTCTCTCTTAAAAATAAACATTAAAAAAAAAAAAATTTTTAACAAAATCGGAAGTAACTGTTGCCAGGGTAGACCAAGAGTTGGTATCTCTTCCATTATCAAGTACCAACGTCTCACCAACAACCATATTATAAATATTCATCCAGTTTTGATAAGGAAATAAATGGTACAAGGTAAATCCAAAGACACAGTCTGTGGCCAATCATAATTACTCTTAACCTACTGTGATTATTCAGACCATTTCCAATTTGTAACCATTACAAACGTCAATAAGATGAACATCTTTATGTAACTTTACCCATCTCTGTTTTCTTAAGATCAGTTTTTAAATCTGGAACATGAGGCAAAAGGAAGAACTCTAAGGCTTTGATAATTATTAACACATGCTTTCCAGGAAGATGTCAGCCATTTAAAATTCTACCACGAGCAAATATCTCCCAACTGCAACAGCAAAGAAAAGAGCCTGCACACCTACCTGGCAGTTCTACCTGCTCGGTGAATATATGTGTTGGCATCCTCTGGACAATCAAACTGAAGAACCCAATTCACAGCTGGGAAATCTGAACAGAAGGAATGTCAAGTTAGGAAACTAGTTACGAGATCTACCCTGCTACACTATTTTTATTTTACGTTATCAATCATCACATGCTAGGACTTTCCATCACATCAAACTGATAGAGATCATCTGTGAACTTTATTAAAAATAAAATTAACTGCAGGAACCAAGAGATAATAAACAATTCTCCTTGGACAGTGACCTAAAATTAATGACAGTGTTTGAATACAAAGATTATTTTGTATCTGAAACAGAAGAGATTGCTTCCTGTCAGAC